CCAAAGATGTTCTATTGGGTTCAGGTCTGGAGACTGGCTAGGCCACTCCAGGACCTTGAGATGCTTCTTACGGAGCTACTCCTTAGTTGCCCTGGCTGTGTGTTTCGGGTCGATGTCATGCTGGAAGACCCAGCCAGGACCCATCTTCAATGCTCTTACTGAGGGAAGGAGGTTGTTGGCCAAGATCTCGCGATATATGGCCCCATCCATCCTCCCCTCAATACGGTGCAGTCGTCCTGTCCCCTTTGCAGAAAAGCATCCCCAAAGAATGATGTTTCCACCTCCATGCTTCACGGTTGGGATGGTGTTCTTGGGGTTGTACTCATCCTTCTTCTTCCTCCAAACACGGCGAGTGGAGTTTAGACCAAAAAGCTCTATTTTTGTCTCATCAGACCACATGATCTTCTCCCATTCCTCCTCTGGATCATCCAGATGGTCATGGGCAAACTTCAGACGGGCCTGGACATGCGCTGGCTTGAGCAGGGGGACCTTGCGTGCGCTGCAGGATTTTAATCCATGACGGCGTAGTGTGTTACTAATGGTTTTCTTTGAGACTGTGGTCCCAGCTCTCTTCAGGTCATTGACCAGGTCCTGCCGTGTAGTTCTGGGCTGATCCCTCACCTTCCTCATGATCATTGATGCCCCACGAGGTGAGATCTTGCATGGAGCCCCAGACCGAGGGTGATTGACCGTCATCTTGAACTTCTTCCATTTTCTAATAATTGCGCCAACAGTTGTTGCCTTCTCACCAAGCTGCTTGCCTATTGTCCTGTAGCCCATCCTAGCCTTGTGCAGATCTACAATTGTATCCCTGATGTCCTTACACAGCTCTCTGGTCTTGGCCATTGTGGAGAGGTTGGAGTCTGTTTGATTGAGTGTGTGGACAGGTGTCTTTTATACAGGTAACGAGTTCAAACAGGTGCAGTTAATACAGGTAATGAGTGGAGAACAGGAGGGCTTCTTAAAGAAAAACTAACAGGTCTGTGAGAGCCGGAATTCTTACTGGTTGGTAGGTGATCAAATACTTATGTCATGCAATAAAATGCAAATTAATTACTTAAAAATCATACAATGTGATTTTCTGGATTTTTGTTTTAGATTCCGTCTCTCACAGTTGAAGTGTACCTATGATAAAGATTACATACCTCTACATGCTTTGTAAGTAGGAAAACCTGCAAAATCGGCAGTGTATCAAATACTTGTTCTCCCCACTGTATATGTTTACCATATATGACTGGGAAAAATATAATTGAACGGCCCTCCAACTTGTATTTACTAGTGGGAAATTCGTCTATCATCCTTGAGCTCTGACATTTACATTTACATTTATGTCATTTAGCAGACGCTCTTATCCAGAGCGACATACAAATTGGTGCATTCACCTTATAGCCAGTGGGATAACCACTTTACAATATGTTTTTTTTTTTTTTTTTTTTTGGGGTTGGGTTGGGGGGGTAAGGGGGGGGGGGGGTAGAAGGATTACTTTATCCTATCCCAGGTAGGACCTCTCCCACATGGTGACCTCTGACTTCACCTACTAACGAAATTACCTCCATAACAGCATTTTCGGCAGTTAATTGCAACTACAAAACATTTTTTTTTATACCAATCTATTCATATGGTTTTTGAACACTATCATTTGTTTACAAGCCTGATAGCTATACTGTTAGTATGTTGACACAACTTGTTGGCAATTTGCCAACGAGTTCAAAGCACATGAAAGCATCCAACTGGTAAATTCCCACCTCCCATTTGGAGCTCAAGGATGAGAGACCAGTTTCCCACCAGTAATTACCAGTCGGAGGGCCGTTCAAATAGACTTTTCCAAAGTCGTATGTGGTAAACATAGAGAATGATAGAGATATCTTTATATATGTTCCATTATGGTGTTTGTTAGCGCACGGGCAGCGCCATTGAGGCCATCTCCATTTTGAAGTAGTCCATTTTTTTATTCTACTACTTCTATGAGTTGGCAAACAAACTGAAAGGGTGCATACTGCCATCTAGAGTGTGTAGTTTGAACAGGTATAAAGCCAAGGATGGCGATTTACTGACACCTAGAGTTATGGAATGTTTGCTCATGGGTATAATTCATTGGCTGATCCCTCCTGATGTCCCGGATGGAATCATGTGATCCTTCCCCCTTAAGAAGTCCCACTCAGTTGACTACTTTAAAATGGTGAAGCGCTCAATGTCCATGCCAAAATGGGTTTTATCCATCTAGAGCCCTCTAACTTATTCTATGGCGGTAAATTCCCCCTTCCCACTTGGTTATGAACTCAGCAAAAGTTACATTTTAGGATACAATTGTTGCTAACAGTTTGGCTGGTTTACAATGTAACATTGCGTATAATTTATTTCACACATAGCCTAGCACCTAGCCTACTGTAACATTGTATTAAGCTACATTTTTTTACTTTCTGACATTGCAGTCTGGCTACAATGTAACAACTTGCACACTTTGACATAGGAAAATTATATCGTAGGCCTATAAACTCCTGTCCCAGATGGTAAACAAGCTCATATTATTCAGTGTATCTAACTTTTCACTCAGCTGTTGACAGACAGACAATCATCAGACAGTCAAGACATACATACATACATACATACATACAAACAGACAGACATATTATACAGACAGACAGGTAGCCCTAAGACATACATAATGTAGGCTAAATATTTCATTTTCCCCAATGGAGGTGTTCAAAACAGAGCTGCTGCACGTTTTTTTTCTCACATTATCGGTTGGACTAAAGATTGAGTCCGTAGCCTTTCATGTCTTTGTGTGGCGGTTGCACGGAAGAAACAGCCCGCTAAACCTCTGGAGGGAGCCTGCGAAACACATACCGACCGAACCCGAGTGTGTGTGTGTGCGCCGCCATGGTGACTCTTACGTCACACCCCGAGCACGGATGTGTGTGTGTGTGTCTCCGTGGAGTGAGAATGTAAATAGAATAGATGTTCGAAAGGAGTGAGAGGTAGCCTAGAAGTGGAAGGACATGCACAAGATTCGAAGAGAGTCACAACACTATCCGATTCCTGCACGATTCACAAAGGTAGAGTCAATTTGTGTATTTGTTGGTTATTGCACAGACTTGTCGACGGAGTTGTCCGAGGCCACGAATTGGGCTCGAGGTGGCAGAGATCCTCGGGATGGACTCCCGCTTTCCCTCGCGCTGGCGTGGTAAATCACGCGCCATTGAGGGTTGATGTTGTGCATGCGCCTTGGTCGCCTGTGTGCATGGTCGATGCTACATTGCGTGGCTTTGGCGGCCTCCATTTGTGAATTAATGTGCATACTCGAAGATTATTTCGAGGTGTTTTGTTTCTACGACGGCAAGCAACAGTTGGAGTTTGCGCTGTAATAATTGCTCTCCAAACAGCGCAACACACACTACGGTTGTGAAAGGTAGGCGTTAGTGAATGTCCAACTTTTTAACTTGCTGGCTAAGTACCTGGAGGCCTATAACAAGGCTTTGTGAGGACAGGACGAAGGGTGGTGTCAAGCGACTTTTACCGGCTACTCGACTGGCTTGTGTTTTTGAAGCAATGGTTCATATAAAGCTCATGGAAAACAATGGTTTGATAGGTGAGAAGAAATATGATTTGGAATAACCATATTTAACAAATAATAATGATAAAACCTCCAATATCCTACGCATGTCTATACATGATAGGACCATTTGCATTGTTTCTGAACTGAAATTGACAAGGACACTACAGTAGGAAATGTAATTAATAGCATTTTAGCCTGTAGTTTACAGGAAATTGTTGATTAATCAAAATCTGAATTTGATTTGACCTTTAGGCTATTTTACTTTCTAAACGCAATCCCTTAGTAACTAGTTGCCTATCCAAAACTGTCATCTGTAACTTTTGGATTACCCAATCTCTGTAACGTAATCTGATTACTTCCACATTAGAAGAAGACAAAAAGGATCCATCAAATGCATTTGGTGTGTCATCGTAGTGGTCTCTGATTTGTATTCAGACTCTTTAAACTTGTGCCTTTTTTCAATGCTGAATTGAGTGTCATTGAGAACTGAAAGGTGTCAAAAAAAATTATTCCGCAAAAAAAAATTATATCCTTTCTGAATATAAAAATAATCCAAGAAGTAATCTTGTTTTTCAAAAATATCTGTAATCTGATTACAATATTTTTGTTGGTAATGTAGCTGGTTCCTTTTTTTTTGTAATCAGATTACATGTTACAGGTTACTCCGTTACTCCCCAACCCTGGTTACTAGTGCGTAAAATTATTAAACATTTAGCCTAATAATTTTTGATATTGTTTTGTAACTATTTTGTAATGTTTTGTAGGCTAATGTAGACCTAGCCTGTAGACTAACTAATCAGTTTAGATCCTCACCAGAGGGTCTTGCATTAATTGTGCAGGTGAGTGGTTAGTCTCTGGTTTAGGATCCGACGAAAGACTGTTATCTGCCCGAGTTTAAGCCTTGGCGCAAGTTACCAATGAAGAGAGCATAGTGAGTAATTTCTTCCGCTACACTTGAATGACACATTGCATGAATACAATGCCATTGTTCAAGCAAATTCCCAAACCACTAGAAGCTGATAAACAACAGAAAATGGATGTAAAGTGTGGTGTCAGCAAAATTAGTCCAAGCCTTTGGGATAGGCCTACAGTTGTTGGATGACGCTACACTTCTTCACTCTATAGCAGACAAAGTGGATATGACATGTCAGTCACAATTCTGAAAACAATGCATTTTTTAAATTCAATCTCATCATGTTACAACACATTATTTCTTACGTACAATTTGGACAGCTAATTGTTCATTTCTTGATGCCATAATAATTAATGTAGACATCCTGACATGTTGTTAGTTAGTTCACTATTATCTGGCCAATGATATGAGCCATTATTCTAACATAACATTATATTTGGATTCTTCCAGGATGTCAACTGAAAATAACCATAGTTCAACTTGAGGTGCTTTAAACAAAAAGAATAGTATACAACATTTACTCTCTCATCTATGGAGGACCCTACAGTGATGGAGGAGTGGGTAGAGGACTTGGCCATTACCGCATCAATTTCATCTGACAGCGTCACCAGTGAGCCAAGCCTGGCCAACAAGGATGGGGTGGAGGACCAATCTGTAACCATGACAGGCAAGGATGCGAGCTTAACCAGTGTAGCCATGGCTTCATCCACCGATGCCATAACAAACACTGAAGTCAACCTAGCTATGGCATCATCCACACACAGTGAAGCTAACTTAGGCATAGCTTTATCTACTGACGACATTACAAACAAAGAAGCGAGTGGAACCATAGCCTTACCCATGTATAGCAAGGCAAACACTGATGCTAAGCCAGCCATCCCACCCATAGCATCAGCATCTTCATCACCAGCTGCCACCATGACAAACAGTGATGCCAAACTAGCCCTCCCCTCACCTTTTTCATCACCTGCTGCCAGTGGCCCAGCCCCCGGAGGCCTGCAGCCCGAGGAGGGAGGCCTCTCAGCAGTGAGGTCATGCGGTAGTGTGGGGGTCACTCTGGAGAACAGCAGTGTCTGGAAGGAGTTCCATCGCTGTGGAACCGAGATGATCCTCACCAAACAGGGCCGGCGCATGTTCCCCTACTGCCGCTACCGCCTGACAGGTCTGGAACCAACACGCCGTTATGCTCTGGTCCTGTCAATCACCCCCGTCGACACATTCCGCCATCGCTGGAACCTGGAGTGGGAACCCAGTGGTCTTGGCGAACCACTCACCCAGGCCTCACGCAGAGTCTTCCCCCACCAGGACTCATCAGCCCTGGGGAAGGTCTGGATGGCCAGCCTGGTCTCCTTCTATAAACTCAAACTGACTAACCACTGCCTGGACCAGGAGGGGCATGTGTTGTTGCACTCCATGCACCGCTACAGGCCCAGTTTACATGTGATCCCCATCGCAGAGGGAGATGACCTTGGCTTTGACCCTAAGCTGCTCTACCTCCAGCTCCTCAGTCCGGATGTCATGACCTTCACGTTCCCGCAGACAGAATTCTATGCTGTGACGTCATACCAGAACACCAGGATCACCCAGCTGAAGATAGACTATAATCCCTTTGCTAAGGGCTTCCGGGAAGACAGCGGCAGCCCGCGCCTCGCCAAGCCCAGGCCAGAGCAGTCTCAGGCGGGGAAGGGAGATACCCGCTCCCCTGGTCTGAGCTCCGCTAGGCCTGATGGTGGTGATGGGACTGAGCAGATTGTGACTGTGAATGGCGTGGCTGATCTCAGGTTAGTGAAGCTTTTTGTTATCACGTTGTACTGTAATTCAGTTGTTCCCTTTCAGTCAGTCAACTCTGTACAACACATCTATGGGGACTTCGCGCTAACGCCCTCTACTGAAGAACATTAGAATCACATCTGACAAGGCCAGTGAAAACCGTGCCTCACCGGAAGCCCCGCCATCCACAGGTTATTCTTATGGCTCTTTAGCCTCGGTAACTGGTTGTAAGTAAGATGACTAGCACAAACGAGTCGACTAAAGCTGTTAAGCCAGGTTCGAGTTCACAACCTTGCCCACAGTCATGAGGTTTCACCATGTCTTTGAATGATATTTATAAGTGTTGTTGTGTATGTCTCAGCTGGGTGCATGCTCAGAGTGCCCTGGATCGAACCAGCTCGTGTGACCACTGTCGCCGGCTGCGTACAAGTTCTCTCAAGAGGTGTATATCCTTCCTTAGAAGGCTTAGTGGGACTGAAGTTGACTGGCTCAGGATACGAATGTGGGTCTAGGCTCGTGGTCAGATCACATGGAGCTATCCTCCCAGCATGGCGATATACACTGAGTATACCTAACATTAGGAACACCTTCCTAATATTTTTGCCCTCAGAACAGCCTCAATTTGCTGGGATATGGACTCTACAAGGTGTCAAACGTTCCACAGGGATGCTTGCCCATGTTGACCCCAATGCTTCCCACAGTTGTGTCAAGTTGGATGGATGTCCTTTGGGTGGTGGACCGTTCTTGATACACACAGGAAACTGTTGAGCTTCAAAAACCTGTCAGCGTTGCAATTCTTGACACAAACTGATGCTACTGGCACCTACTACCATACCCCGTTCAAAGGCACTTAAATCTTTTGTCTTGCCCATTTACCCTCTGAATGGCACACCTACACAATCCATGTCTCAATTGTTTTCAAGGCTTAAAAATCCTTTAACCTGTCTCCTCCCCTTCATCTACACTGATTTTTAAGTGGATTTAACAAGTGACATCAATAAGGGATCATAGCTTTCACCTGGATTCACCTGGTCAGTCTATGTCATGGAAAGAGCAGTTGTTCTTAATGTTTTGTATACTCAGAGCAAGCTGATATCTGTCTCCTTCGGTGTTACACAGGACTCACATTTGGATGACGACGTGGTGTCTCTGGCCAGTTCCTGGTTTTTTTCTGAGACAGAGATGGAGGGCTTGGCTTCGGGGCAGCCACATGTCCTTGCTACGAATGTAACAGGGGAATCCCTGGCTTCTAGCGCACCGCTCATTGATCTATGCCGTCGAGCAGCTGCACACAGTGGAGTGGGGCCGCAGCTTGACAAGGTGTACCGGGCCCAAGGGGTGGCTGCCAATTCCCTGAACACGGTCTCAATGCTGCAGATTTACCAGACTGAGCTGTTGGCTGACCTGGCCACGGTTCTGGCTGCTGGAGAGCTGCACGCAGAGCTCCTGGATGAGATTTGTGCTACGGCCCATTTCATCTTGTGCATGTCCATCTCCAAGGCATTCCTAGTTGATCGGCAAACATTTATTTTTAAAAACTAAACGATAAAGCCTTGTGGTCCTATTTTTGTATCTTTTTTTTATCTTGCGCTGTTGGCGGTAGGATCACCCGATTTCAGCTGTCCTGTGCTCCGGGTAGGCGAATTGTTCCAGTTTTGAACCATTTAATGTGTCAGAAGGTACAAACTCTGCCTTCCCGGCGAGCCCGGAGAACAGTAGCCCACGCACACCTAGCACGATGAGAGGGAGGTGACATGGTCCCCTCCCCAGATATTTGCTGTGACAACAGTACCCCCAAGTGGCATGGCCAACCCAGGGTGGACCGGGCTTCAGGCAAATGTCAGCACTTAAACACATTGTTTCTACACCAAGTTCCACGGTCTTCACAGGTGTCAAGAGTTATGTCCTTCACGTGAGCTTACAGTCAGACACTCGGTTGTCGAAAGGGGTGGAAATAAAAAAAGGGGTGAAAAAATAACCAAATTCTTCCAGTCCACAAGGTGGCGTTCTGCCCCTTCAGATGGCACTTTACGGGAGACTCGGTGTCTCTGTCGACCAATGACGCTCATGCGCAGCGTAGCCCTCGATTATGCAAACAGTGACGTTGGGGTACAGGCTACAATTCATTGTGCTTCCCCCACGTTTTTACGACGTCATTACATCGACTGTTCCGGAGGCCTCAATGCCCATTTTGAGAGAGGAGATTTCTTCCCTTCTCCAGAAGGAGGCGAGTGGTTCCTATGTCAGAGGCCCAGGATTGCTGGTACAGCTGGTATTTCCTGGTTCCAAAAAGGGGAGGGATTTGTGTCCCATTTTTTGACCTGGGTGCCCTGAACAAGCACCTCAGGGTCTACAAATACAGAATGCTCACAAACAGCTGGTTGTTAGTCAGTGCGCCAGGGTGATTGGTTCACCTCCATCAACCTGAAGGATGCGTACTTTAATGTGGCCATATATCCCCTTCACAGAAAGTTCCTGAGGTTCCATTTCGAGGCTGTAGCCTAAGAGTTTCGGACTTTCCCTCTCGCCTCGCACTTTCACCAAAGTTGTGGAGGTGGGTTTGGCACCTATGTGGTTTCTGGGGCTCAGGATATTGGACTACCTGGACAAATGGCTGGTGGTAGCGGAGTCGAGGGAGCAGGTGGTGTTACACACCCATGCTGGTTTACCATGTTCAGTCTCTGGGTTTCATAGTGAGTCAAGAGAAGAGCTGTTTCACCCCATCTCCGCACATTCTGTTTCTGGGTCTTGAGTTACTCAGTCGAGAATCATGCATTCTTGTCCCCGCAGAGGGAGGCTCGTGTCTGGCTTTGCTTGGCTCAATTTCGGTTGGGTCACACAGTGCGTTTTCACAAGTGCCTGCACCTTTTGGGGATAATGGCTTCTATGATAGCCGTTGTTCCCTTCGGGCTGTTGCTGATGCAACCTTTCCATCCGGTCACTCCGGATGTCCCAGTCATGCTTACAGGCTCTGACTCGGTGGAGGGACCCACAGTTGTTGTTGCTGGGGACCCCATGGGTCAAGTTATATCCCGAAAGGTGATCACGACAGACGGATCCCCCCCAAGGGTGAGGTGCACTGTGCTAGGGCATCTCAATTCGGCGTTGTGGACAGTGTCGCAGAGCACGCTGTACATCAATTACCTGGAGCTGTTGGTGGTGTACATAGTGCTCAGACATTTTCTCCCATTGTTGGCAGGCCAGCATGTGCTGGTGAGGACCTACAATGGGACAGTGGTGGTGTACATCAACAGACAGGGAGGGGTGCGATCCCGCCCCGTCTTATCCTTCGCTCGCTTCCTACTGCTGTGGAGCACTGCGCACTTTCCCTCGCACGGGACAACATATCTCCCCAGGCACCTCAACACAGGTGCGGCTCTGCTATCCAGGGGTCCCCCGGTCTCGGGAGTGGAGTCTACACCCCTGGGTCTCCCAGACATGGGAAATGTTGGACAGGGCCGATGTAGATCTTTTACGCATTGTGAGAACGCACATTGTTGGCTGTTGTTCTCAATAAGGGACCTGAGTGCTCCGTTGGGAACGGATGCTCTCGCGCACCAGTGGAGACCCTCCTTTATGCATTTCCCCCTGTGGACCTGATTCAGCCTACACTGGAGAGGGTGCGATGGGAAGGCTTGCCTTGTGGCTTGTCATTGGCCCAAACGACCTTGGTTCGCGGAGATCGTTCATTTACGTCCAATCTGATGGCAAGGGGTTTGTTTACCTCTTAACGTTATTTCTACTCGTTTGGAGGGTGCAAGTGCAGGGTTGTATGGGTATAAGTGGCGGGCATTCGAGCGTTGTTGCCAAAATCAAGGGATTGTTCCTTTTCAGAGCTCTCTGGTGGACATTTTAATGTTCTTGCAGGGCTGTTCATTCCCCACCCTGAAGGTGTATATGGCAGCTATTTCAGCGTGTCATGTGGGGATTAATGGTGCCACTCCAGGGGCTCATCCCAAGCTGTGGGTTTTTAAAAAGGTGTGCGCCGTCTCAGCCCGGTTTCTTAACCTATTGCGCCCACTTGGGATTTTGTTTGGATGTGCTGTGTGAGGCCCCCTTTGGAACCGATGGAGTCTGTGGATCTGAAGGTCCTCTCCTACAAGACCGGCCTGCTCGTGGCTTTGGCCTCGGCTAAACGCATTGGAGATCTCCAAGGGTTATCCATTCACCCCTCCTGCATGAATTTCGGTCTTGGCGACTCTAAGGTGACGCTGCGGCCTTCGCCCCTAAGGTCATGACTATGCTAGAAGTCTCTAGCTTACATTCCCTGTGTCTTTGAGCGGACCAGGGGTGTCTGTCTGTGTGACCAATTTTTTGTCTGTTTTGCTAATCCGGCTCGTGGTAGGGCGCATTCTAAGATGCGGTCTTTCCCACTGGATTGTGGAGGCTATTTCTCTGGCATATGACAGCAAAAGGCAGGAATTACCTAATGATGTATGTGCCCACTCCACCAGGGGTCTGGTGGTGTCTTGGGCGTTGTTTTAAGGGGTTGCCTGTAAGAGATATTTGTGCTGCGTCGAGTTGGGCATCACTCAAGGTTGTATCGCTTGGATGTCACTGCCCTCAGTATAGCCCACAGTGTGCTTACGGCTAGGGCAGGAGAAGGTCATTCGGCAGCGTGCAGATTGCGCAGTACCGGGTCCGCAGGTTTTCCTGTCATTTGGTGTCTGCTGGGGTCAGCGTGGGGTGTGATTTCATGTCCTCATAGCTGTGTTGTACCGAGTTGACTAACTGAAAGGGAACAAAGCTATGACTATAACTACTGTTCCCTGAAGGAGGGAAATGAGGTACAACACCTGTTCGTCCAGCGCTGCCAAGTTCTGGGCTCGGTGAAAAGATGGACTGAATTAAAGAAATGAATCTGTGCATGGGGTTTATCACCTGTGGAAGGTGGGGCTTCCGGTGAGGCACAGTGTTCATTGGCCTTGTCAGATGTGATTCTAATGTTCTTCAGTAGAGGAAGCTAGCACCCGAACTCCCCACAGCTGTGTTGTTCCTCGTTTCTCTCCTTCAGGGAACAATAGTTATATTAATAACTGTATGTTTTCCTTAATGTGTGTTTCACTGAATGTAATTAATTTTGTTACACACCAACAGCTGTTCAAAGCCTTCGGAACCTTCCACTGTAGAACCAATGGAGTCTGAGGTTCCGTCCTCAAAGAAGGTTACGCTTGTAGAACCCACCATGACCTCACCCATTTTGGTTCCAGAACCTCAAGAGGGCAAGGCTGCCAGCTTAACCCCTAAAACATCGGAACTACAGAAGATCTCACCCAAACCTTTCCCCCCTACCCCCTCACCTTCAACCCCCACCGCCTCACCCTTTGCCGTCCCAAAGCCATGGAAGAAGGGGCGGAAATCAGGGGGCAATCGTTGGGGCAATGTAGGAAAAGTCACTAAGGGGACTAAGGTGGCGATAGCGGCTGTTGCAGCAACAAGCAGCCCGGTAACTGTCGCTATGCAGCCTCAACTGGACGACGTGGAGGGTCTACTTTTTGTGTCCTTTACTTCCAAGGTAAAACACGACACTCGTGCTCTGAGAGTTATGGGAAATGGGAGTTTCAGACATCCAGAACTGTTCATTTAGAACTCCTGAGTCGGAAATACAAGTGGGGAACTTTGTGTATATTTGCTGACGGTGCAGACGGTATTGAAAAAGTAATCTCTTCCTCTGTGTCACAGGAAGCTCTTGGTGTCCATGTGGAGGACATGCCACCCAGTAACACGTCACCAGTCATGCAGGAACACCCAGAGAAAACTGGTAAGGCTGCAAAGAAGTTCTATTCTACTGTATATACTCTGAAAGGGGCTTGTCATTCTCTAGCGGCGTACTTTGGCAACAAGACGGCTGGAGACACACAAAATAGAACATCAACACCAACTGTTGTTTTCACTGATTGGCAGTCACAATACAGTATGCGTCTCTGAAAGTGTCTCCAGTACTGATGACACTCTATTCTATTCTAACCTAACTGTGTGTGAGCAGTAGTGGAGAGTGATGAGGAGGAGAAAGCTTGTCTGCAGACTATCCTACTACAGGACCTGAACACACCTAAACACAGACAAGTCATCCATCCTGTCCTACAGGAGGCTGAGTGGACACCACACACTCATGCATGCACTCTCAAGCTTTCTCTTTTCCTCTCGCCCCTCTAGCTCTCTTTCCATGTCTCACCACACACACCTAGGCTTATACCCTTCTCTGCTCATGTCCACCATTCATAACCATAACAACCTCTTGTGTGTTATTCCCCCTATAGTTGATCTGAAGTTGAGCTCCCTGGACTCAGGCCTGGCCATTGATCTACAGTATCTGGGGGTGGGTTACCGCTGCCCCGCCTGTGTTCACAGGGCTGGGCAACGCTACCTCCACTGGTGAGTCACACTGAGTGATGGTTAATGATATGAAAACAATGGTTAATTTACTAGCAACGTAGGCTACGGTAGCAATAATAGCCACAAAACACACCAGTGAGATTGGTGGTTGTTTTGACTTTCACGTGCACTCTCCAAAATCTCCAGCGATCATGATCTGGGATGTCAACACAAGACTTACTTGCTTTCACTGGGTTATTATTCTAATTTGAGTAAAGCCATTAGTAGCAGGCCCGGGGATTTTGTCATAGTTGCCAACAAGGGAACGTATTAATTGACTTATTATTATTATTATTATTATTATTCCCTAATTGAGAAATGTTAATGCCTAGCCTAGTAGTAAATGAATTACACTTGAAAGATGATAGCGGTTTTTCAATTACATGGCTCAGCTAGTTTAATGCATTAGAGTCACTGAGTCCTTAATAAGCAGTTTACTGTCTTCATCCACAGATAATAAGGCAAGGCAATTACGGGATTTACACCAACCTAAACACTCAGAATTAGCCCTAGTGATGTGACTCCCTCCACAGCTATACTGTGGTAGAATGGGGGAGTGTTAATGGTTGAGGTTATTGTTTGGTCCGATAATAACCCCTCAAGCCCCATCCTCGTCAGTGTTTGCAGATCTGAAGGGACTGGATAGGTGCAATATACTTAGTCTCCATACCCCGAAGAGGTAGTGGCTAGGTGAAGGGTCTAGACTAGAGGTTGATTTGGAATTGAGCCTTTTGTCTCTCTCTAATTACCTTGTATACTCCAAACACTAAGGGGGTAGAGGCTAGGTTAAGGGTCTAGTGGTTGATTTGAAATTGGGCCTGTGTCTCTCTCTAATGACCTTGTTGCCTCTCTGTGCAGATGGAAGCAGGTCCTTTGTCTCCAGGACGGGGAAGACCAGTGACCTGACCAAAATCAAGGGCTGGAGGGAAAAGTTCATAAGGACCAGAGAGTCCTCTCAGAACCACAACCCCAACCGCTCTGCCTTCTGCAGCGACATGCTCAACCAATACCTGGAGAGCCAGGCCCAGCGAATCAGGGCCTACGCCGCCGCTTTCTCCCACAACCCCCTGGGCTCCGTGGCTTATCAGCTACCTGTGACCAGCACCAGCTACGTGCGGACCCTCGACAGCGTTCTGAAGACGCGGGCCCTTCCGCCTCAGCCACCGGCCTTCTGTAGACCCTGCCCCCTCTCCCGGAAACCTCTCCTGTACGCTGCTCTAAAGGAGCCCCCTCCACCTATCAACGACCACATGACCCCTCCTAAAGCAGCCAAGCCCAAACCAAAACATGCACCACCACAAGGCAAACAGCACCATATAACACCACCACAAGACAAACAGCACCATATAACACCAGCACAAGGCAAACAGCACCATATAACACCAGCACAAGGCAAACAGCACCATATAACACCAGCACAAGGCAAACAGCACCATATAACACCAGCACAGGGCAAAGGCAGATCTGCCTCTCTACTACGGCCCATTCAGGTCTCCAACAGTAACAAAACTACTGCTGCTAAAGCTATAGCTGAGGTTAAAGTCACCAGCCCTACTGCACAAAGGTAAGGGCATGCAATTAAAGACACGTAATACCCATGCCAAGTCATAAAGTATAGACATCTCTCTATATCTGATGTTGACCCAAAGCAATATGAAATGAGTCTGACATTTTTCATAGTTGTGATGTTCTGTAGATATGTTTGTTTGAGATTGAGCAAGTCTCAGTTTTTTACCCTACAATGGACAATAAAGCTTTTGAATAAACATTATCCTCGTACCTATAGGTCTCCTCCAGGTAAGGGGGCAGTGAGGAGGGACACCAGCCCAGGAGGAAGCCTCTCCAGCGGGTTGAGTGGCCTCTCTAAGAACCAGCTCAGACTGGTTGGCCTCTCTAAGATCCAGCTGAAAATGATGGAGATGGAGGATGCCACCTTCTACCAGGGACACGACAGAACACACATCACTACTGAGAGGGTGGAGACGGCCCTGAGGGCCCTGCTCACTGCACAGGTAGGTCTGACACACACACACACACACACACACACATATACATACACACACACACACACTGTCTGATGGTCTCTCTGTCTGTACCCTACAGGGTCTTCCTAAGAGCAGTGCCCCCAAGTCCAGCCAAGTGGACGGTCCAGAGTGTGGTTCTGAGTTCTGCAGGCTGGGGTGTGTGTGTTCCAGCCTGGCCCGGGTGTCCAGGGGTCCACTCCACTGCTACAGGCCAGACTGTATGTTGGGCTGCTCCTGCTTCAAACGCAAGATCTCCAAACAGACCACAGCAGCAGAGAATGACCAGAACCAGATGCTTCCTGTTTACAGTAAGTTCCTATCCAGGGTGACTGTATTTGGGGACTTGTGAGTGGGCGCCAAAGGCACATTTGTCTCAGAATGTACACCAAATGAATGAAACATTGCACATCAACTTGAACAAGCTAATGAAAGTGTCTCCTCCTCTCCCTGTCCAGCTATGTCTAACGTGGACCATGAGATCCAGCCCAATCGAGGCATCCGCGTCTCTACCCTGTGGGACCTCACCTCGGGGGTGGACCCCGAACCCCTCTTCATCCCCATAACTGCCCCCAACATACCCATCAAGCTTCTAACCAGGATCTACCACCTTGTTCCCAAGCGTTACATCCCTCATCTCACCCCTGAGGTAAATTACACAGTCATAGTATGCGTCACAAATGGCACCCTTTTCCCTTTATAGTGCACTACTTTTGACCAAAGCCATATGGGTCCTGAACAAAAGTAGTGCACTATATAGGGAACATGGTACCATTTGGGACACAGCCCATAGTGTCAAACTACCACCCTGAATTGGGTAAGTTACAGGACTGGAGCAAATGGTGAAAACGTTGATTTCAGAAAAGCTGTATATAAAAAAGATATGATGGATTATGTGTGTGTGTGTGTCTGCAGCTACGAGAGGAGGACAAGGACCCAGTATACAAGTACTATGAGAGTATGATGACGTGCGCCGGCATCAGAGAGTTCAACAGCAAACCCTGTCCCCAGGTGCTGCCACCACAGGTGCACCTATTCAACGACAGTAACAGTTTCATCATCCCCAGCAGCGGAAAGGTAAGGCGGAACACGCATACACACACTAAATAGTTATTGTCGGAGTAGATGCGTCAAGGACTTTGTATAGACAGTTTAACCCCCTACGGTCGATTGTCTTCGGCCCCACGGAAATCTGATTATCATAATAAAACAATCCCCATAAAAAGCGATCAGTTTAAACTAAAGATATGTTTTTTTTGCATTGGATGCATCTTAATCTACCACATCCGCCTATGTCACACTTCCACATCTGCAGTGAAAGGTGACAGAGCTAGAGTGGTGTTTATCAGACCGTGAGATATCCGGGAAATCGGTCTTCTCACAAAATCGTCTGTAGCGTCCGAACGGTTTGGCCTACAAACTATTATGACCCCTCTATGGAAAGATGAGACTCTCACGAACACTATGGTGTTTTCCGTTTTGCTCCACAAGCGCCTTGGGACTCGTCTGAAGTCGGTACAGCCGATCTGCCAACTTCTGTCTGTACCGTCCAAACAGTTTGGCCGACATTCTAATATGACCGCTCTGTGGAAAGGTGCGACTCTCACGAACATGTACATGGAGGTTGTTTTGCACACAGGCCTCACAACTCGTCTGGAGGTCTCATGGTACCAGTTTAAAAAATGAATGGAAGTATATATGGAGACTGTTTAGTGCCAGAAATAAGGGGTTAAATAAATGTTTCCTGATCTTCCTATACAGTATCTCTCAGATATAGGACAGACACTTCAGAACAAACTTCCTTTTGATTTGTTTTGTGACTCTGTTCTATGTAGTGAATCTGTTATTTAATGCGTTTGTATGGGCTATTAGCAGTTAAGGCCAAATACAGTTTTTCATTAGACGCTTATGGGTTAAGGTGTTCATCTAGCCACTAGGGGCAGACAAACATTTTACAATGGCTTTTAACCTCTACTGGATGGGTGTCCCGAAATCGGGACAGTTGTTGCGCAATACGGATAATGTGACTACAATGACGTTGTAAACAAAAGCACATTTTCACGGACATATACATGTCTTATATCTAACTGCAGTGTCCAATTTACAGTGGGTATTACAGCGGAAAAAATACCATGCTATTGTTTGAAGATAGTGCACAACAACAAAACACTTTTCTCAAGGCAACTGGTTTGATACATTCACCTCTGAAGGTAAATAATGTACTTACATTCAGTAATCTTGCTCTGATTTGTCATCCTGAGGGTCCCAGAGATAAAATGAGTTGTTTTGTTTGATAAAATCAATTTTTATATCCTAACATGATCCATGTTGTATACAGCGTTTAGCCTGAATTCAGACTCGTTCAACTTGCAACAAAACATTTAGACAATATAAACGCTACACCTTGTTTCACCCAGCCAAGTTCGTTTTTTCTGCGATACTCAAGAAGGCAACCTCTTTTTCCGTCATTCTGCATGATGTATAGGCTACACAAAAGCTATTTGAGCCCACCAAGAACTGACATGATTACGCACCAATGAGGTGGGCATTGTTCACTTGATTGACTGTATCTTGGTCCAATGACCACCTATCGTTTTGAAACATATCTAGCTAGATAGCCAATGAGCTGGGCTTTACAGGAGTATGAGATGGTCCTTTGTCTGAGGAAAAGCCTGTGTATTCAGCACACGCGCAATGTGGTTTAGTGTCTATTGAAAATCTAAACAAGGATGTGGCGCATCGCGTTACGCACATCTCGATTGAATAAACAAAAATGTTCTGCAAATTTTGAAAGTACAATATGGCTACTAATACTGGAAAAGCTAAATCAAAGTCCAGGTTTACAGATTTGGACGAGATTATAGCAGAAATCGACCGGGAAAGTGTCACAGAACCAGTAGATGAGGACTTAGTGAATATAGTTTAGACTCAACAGCTGAAGATTATATGTTTTTGGAAGGAGAGGACGCCACTTTAGACTGGTAAGTGAAATACGTTTTTTCTACTCATGCTAATGCAGTTGTTTGAACGGTTGCATATTATTAATTTGAGATATTTTTGATGTTTTTTCTTTGATTGCTATATATATAAAGCAGAGGTATCTCTGGGTCTTCCATTCCTGTGGCGGTCCTCATGAGAGCCAGTTTCATCATAGCACTTGATGGTTTTTGTGACTGCACTTGAAGAAACTTCAAAGTTCTTGAAATGTTCCGTATTGACTGACCTTCATGTCTTAAAGTAATGACGGACTGTCGTTTCTATTTGCTTATTTGAGCTGTTCTTGCCATAATATGATTGGCTCAAACACATTAAGAAGGAAAGAAATTCCACAAATTAACTTTTAAGAAGGCACACCTGTTAATTGAAATGCATATAATATATCTGTTTATAGATATGTGTTGTTTATTTGATGTATTGATGCAGGGCTCATCCGTAAAAGTATTCTGACTGATTTTTTAAATGTATTCAGTCCGACCTCTGCTGCTGGATCCACACCTACCCCCGCCCGGCCATCTATTTATAAACTCTGCATAAAAAGAAACGTCCTCTCACTGTCAACTGCGTTTATTTTCAGCAAACTTAACATGTGTAAATATGTCTATGAACATAACAGGATTCAACAACTGAGACATAAACTGAACAAGTTCCACAGACATGTGACTAACAGAAATTGAATAATGTGTCCCTGAACAAAGGGGGGGTCAAAATCAAAAGTAACAGCTGCATTAAGTACTTCAGTGCATCTCCTCCTCATGGACTGCACCAGATTTGCCAGTTCTTGCTGTGAGATGTTACCCCACTCTTCCACCAAGGCACCTGCAAGTTCCCCGACATTTCTGGGGGGAATGGCCCTAGCCCTCACCCTCCGATCCAACAGGTCCCAGACGTGCTCAATGGGATTGAGATCCGGGCTCTTCGCTGGCCATGGCAGAACACTGACATTCCTGTCTTGCAGGAAATCACGAACAGAACAAGCAGTATGGCTAGTGGCATTGTCATGCTGGAGGGTCATGTCAGGATGAGCCTGCAGGAAGGGTACCACATGAGGGAAGAGGATGTCTTCCCTGTAACGCACAGCATTGAGATTGCCTGCAATGACAACAAGCTCAGTCCGATAATGCTGTGACACAACGCCCCAGACCATGACGGACCCTCCACCTCCAAATCGATCCAGCTCCAGAGTACAGGCCTCGGTGTAACGCTCATTCCTTCGACGATAAACACGAATCCGACCATCACCCCTAGTGAGACAAAACCGCGACTCGTCAGTGAAGAGCACTTTTTGCAAGTCCTGTCTGGTCCAGCGACGGTGGGTTTGTGCCCATAGGCAACGTTGTTGTCTGTGATGTCTGGTGAGGACCTGCCTTACAACAGGCCTACAAGCCCGCAGTCCAGCCTCTTTCAGCCTATTGCGGACAGTTTGAGCACTGATGGAGGGATTGTGCGTTCCTGGTGTAACTCGGGCAGTTGTTGTTGCCATCCTGTACCTGTCCCGCAGGTGTGATGTTCGGATGTACTGACCCTGTGCAGGTGTTGTTACATGTGGTCTGCCACTGCGAGGACGATCAGCTGTCCATCCTGTCTCCCTGTAGCGCTGTCTTAGGCGTCTCACAGTATGGACATTGCAATTTATTGCCCTGGCCACATCTGCAGTCCTCATGCCTCCTTGCAGCGTGCCTAAGGCACGTTCACGCAGATGAGCAGGGACCCTGGGTATCTTTCTTTTGGTGTTTTTCAGAGTCAGTAGAAAGGCCTCTTTAGTGTCCTACATTTTCATAACTGTAACCTTAATTACCTACCGTCTGTAAGCTGTTAGTGTCTTAACGACCGTTCCACTGGTGCATGTTCATTAATTGTTTATGGTTCATTAAACAAGAATGGGAAACAGTGTTTAAACCCTTTTACAATGAAGATCTGTGAAGTTATTTGGATTTTTACGAATTATCTTTGAAAGACAGGGTGCTGAAAAAGGGATGTTTCTGTTTTTGCTGAGTTTATATATTCACTTTGTGTTCACTTATGACATTATATCAGTGTTGGCTGCTAATTTGGCCCTTATCTTAAATAGTTCACTTCTGTGTTGGGAGGCATTGGAACAGTATTCTCGTCACGTCTCCTGTTAGTACCTTTTTATGTAGGGAAGCTAATGATCCATCATGTATGACATTCCTGGGTGTGTGTAAACTTGTATTTTGTATTACCATAGCATTTCTGTATGTTCTCTATAGTTATGTACTTAAATATATAAATTTACCAATTCTGCCACTTGGAGGCCACTTGGATACATTTGGGCAAACTCGTGAGGGACACCTGGGTGACTTGATACTAAATGTTATGTAGCTCCCTCATTCTTGAAGGGATCAGTGTGAAACTTTGCACATACACTGTTGCCCTCTTGTAGACATCTAAATTACCTCCAGCTTCCTATCTGAATGTATGGCTTTTCTTTTTCATGTTGAAGATGATGCAACAAAAATAAAAAATAGGAAACTTAGTTTTTTTGTTTATCTTTTACCAGATCTATTGTGTTATGTTCTCCTACATTAATTTCACATTTCCACAAACTTCAAAGTGGATCCTTTCAAATAGTACCAAGAATATGCATATTCTTGCTTCAGGTCCTGAGGGGCAGTTAGATTTGGGTATGTCATTTTAGGCGGGAATTGAAAAGAAGGGTCTGATCCTTAAGAGGTTAAAGAGGAAATCTCAAGGTTACTTTCATAACCACGGTTCTCTGATAATGAGTGCGATATTTCATGGTGGGATTCGCTCGGAATCACTAAGTCTCGTATCCCTGTAATACTTAGAGAAGATCTTATGTCAAGTGTTATTGAAGTGTAGTGGTTTCAGGTTCACCTGGCACATCTAAAGTTTTTATTTTGGGGTGTTGCTGTAGGCCACCAAGTGCTAACAGTCAGTATCTAAATAATATGTGTGAAATGCTTGATGGTGTATGATGGGGACCTGAATATTGACTAGTTTCATCAAGCTGTCCACTCGAGAGGAAGCTTCTCACTGTAACCAGTGCCTGTAATTTGGTTCAGGTTACTAATCAACCTATCAGGGTGTTTGCAAAC